CCTCAACCTAGCTGAAATTTGTCAGCAGGTGGTAACAGTATTAAGTAACTCAGGCACTTCCCTTGGCTCATTTGAGACCCTTAAATGGCCAAGTAACCGTAGGCTGATGCCATGTAAGGGGAGAGGTCTTCTTTTACAGGCCTTGGAAAGAACTTGCCCATTTACCATCCATCCTGGCCTCCCAAACTCAGTTCCCCATCCGCTTCAGCAAAATGCTCCCTATACTTGCTGTCTGGTTCCGGTGAGGCTGTCCTTTAGGGGAGGTGTCCTCTGGGGACCGTCTGCAGTCCCAATTGTAGCTACCATTCCTTCGTGTTGATGTTGGAACCATAGAGCTGCTGGTCATCCACTTAGCCACTAACTCTCTTAAGTGGAAAACCCTGTATGTGAAGGATGGATATCATCTTAACCAGCACTGCTGAAAAAAACGCAATTGCATATCAATCACTCAAAAGGCTGGTTTTCTAAAGAACAAAAATACCAAGTTCCTCACCATCAATTGCCAATCACAACACTCGTTGAGTGAAACACTTATAGATTCAGGTTCCAGCCCCAGCACAGTAGTAAGAAATGCTGCACTGTTGGAAATGCCATCTTTTAGATGAGATCTTAAACTGAGGTTCCAACTACCTGCTCAAGAATTGAAAGAGTAGAGGTGTTCTCTTCAATGTCCTGTTTAGTGCCTATCTCTTAATCAAAATGACAGAAACAGATTATCTAGTCAGTTTAACATTGCTACCATGCTTCTTATATTACATCAATGACCACTTAGAGAGGATTTCATTGGCTGTAAAGCACTATGAAATGCCCAGTTACTGTCAAAATGCCAAGTAAATGGAATTTTCTTCTTTTTCTTTGTATAACTGTAGTGATTCAAGCGTACTTCATTGAAATTTGATAGTTTTGAGGATATTAAAAGGACTTTTAAAAGAAAAGGTTTTCTTTCCTTTTCTTTCTTTAATGCATGGCTGTTTGAGAACTCAGGTTTTGAAATTTTGTAGGCACTTTCTCAGTCACCTTACGTAATTTTGGTGGGAGATTGTAGCGTGGAGCTCCAATACGGTTGAGACCTAGTTTAACTGGAATACTGCAGAAGGACAAGGAGAAATCTTCTGGAATTTATGGCTTACGCCTTCAGCAATCATATCAGTCTGAAGTGGAAATGCAGCCAGCTATCACTTATTAATTTGGATCCACATTATAGAGTAGAATTGGTTTATAGGCAACTGGAGGCTGTGTTGATATTTGGTTTAGTTGTCTATAGGGGATACAAAATTATTCCTGTAGAAGATGTAAATCAGGGGGTGGAAGGGAGAGAGGAACTTAGTAAAAATACAATCACAATTGAAGTGGTGCTAAGCAAACTAATGGAACCTCCCTCCCCCACCCCTAAACTAATTGTGGTACTAACAGATTGTTGAAGTACTCGAGCAGTTATAAATACATAATGATAGCATTGAGGGTTTTGTTAACAAAGACAGAAACCTCAAGCACAGAATTTCTTTTCCAATTACAGACACAAGTAGGCTGTTTTGTTTTCAACTCTTCCAGAGTAGATTCAATAGTTCCACACACCTTATCCACCCTTTACACACATTTACACTGCTGTAAAAATTTGTAACTCGAATATAATTTGTAACTCATATGGGTGGCACGGGAGCACAGTGGTTTGCACTTGTGCCTCACAGTGCCAGGGACTTGGGTTTGATTCCAGCCTTGGGTGACTGTGTAGAGTTTGCACATTCTCCCTGTGTCTACGTGGGTTTCCTCCGGGTGCTCCAGTTTCCTCCCACAGTCCAAAGATGAGCAGGTTAGGTGGATTGGCCAGGTTACATCTGGGGTGATGGGGATTGGATGGGGGGAGCTGTATCTGGATGGAATGCTATTTGGAGGGTGGGTGCATACTCGATGGGCTGAAGGGCGCCTCTACACTGTAAGGATTCTATGATTCTTCACTATGTTATAATGCTATCACTCAGCAAAAATAGGTCACTGAATTCCAATGGTCCTGATGAGTTTGGGTATCTCCCCATGTGTGAGTCAACCATTCCCACCCCTGTTCCCCTACTGTTGTAAATGAGGCAGGGAACATTCAGATCCTGATTCTGACTGTCATTGGATGCACCCAACTCCACAAAGATCTGGCTTCAGTGTAGTATTCACACAAAGTGAAGTCAGAGGGCAGTGGCTGAGGAAGATTTAGATGAAGGTCGGGCAGGAGAAATGAAATGGAGATGAGTAGAACATTGATCTAACATATTCCACCATAAAACAAGTTCACAAACCTTAGAGCACAGCATTAAGCTCCATAAATTCAACTCTGGCAAGTCGGATTTTTCATCTCGGGTGGTGAGACTTCTTGGGAGACAGGTTGAATGACCCTGGATCAAAAGCAAAGGCTGCTGGGTGCAGTGACTGGCTACAGGAAAGGTCTGCCTTCATGCTTCGGCACCGTCTCGTTGTTTAGTTTAAAAAAAAATCAAAAGAAATCCCTCCGGCCCTGACCCTTCACACCTTCTCCCACCGCAGAATCCCCATGGCCTGACCATGTAACCTGTGACCCTACATAGCAGACATGAAAACCAATGCCCCTTTACAGATCCAATGACAACTCATTGCCCACATCCACTCTTTATTCTACCATCCAAATCACCTCATAACCACCATAGTCAGACCTCATGACCTGTTCAGAGATGAGATAGAACAAAATTCTGCACAAATAAATTGTATTGTTGACTTGACTAAATTAGAAAAAGCATCTTAGTCTATAAAAGCCCATATCTGACATTTACATTCTTCAACTAAATAAAGCCTTAAAAAGATAAACATTTCATTCAAGTGCACAATCCCTTAAAGCAACATCCCACATCAAGAGGCCATAACCACTTGTAACTGTCAATTAAACTGATAAATTACAGACACCCTGCTGTGAAAATAGACAGTTGTGTAATCTGTCATCCAGCACTAGTAATGGAAGCTGGCATACTTGTGTTAACAGGCAGTGAGATAGTAAACAATAATTTTTAATGCTCCAGACATTTTTTTAACCAAAGATATAAAGTGCAGGAGTTTGAAATGTCTTTACGCCTTGCTTTGATAGTACATTTGACAGGCCTTCCCGACACTTTCCACAGCAACACTTAAGAATTCTCTTTTGATACTTTTGACAGCTCCTGTTGGCAGGTTTCTTTAACAGGCCCTTGATACAGTGAGACATCTCATAGTCTGGTGTTATATGGAAAACAGCTATGATAGCTCCTGTTAAGATTTCCCTTTGACAGATCCTCTTGGCACTTTTGGTAGGGCCCTTTGACGGATGCTTCGGACAGTTTTGACATTTAATTTTTACAGGTCTGCTGACAGTTCCAATGGGCTTGACATTGTTAGGTTTCTGCAGTTTTTACTTACACTTATGCCTGCTTTAACAATGGCAAGGGGCACCTTACCTGCACCAAAGGAGACCTAACATACCCAAAGAATACCTGATCTCCTGTGACCTGATATAAAGGGGGTATCTTACCTATCCAAAGGGGGTAATCTGGCTATCCAAAGGAATCCACAAAGTCCAGATCTACTCTTATAACATTTGATCTTCAAACATTGGTTTTCACACTCTAAAACTGACAAGATTCGAGGGATGCAGAAGCGTAGTGGTAGTGTGGTAATGCCACCGGACCAATCCAGAAATCCAGCCTAAAGTTTTGTGGACATGGCATGCTGAAATTTGAATTCAATAAAATCTGGAATTAAAAGAAAGCAAGCCAAAATATGACCATGTAAATTTTGTCAATTGTTGTAATGATCCATCTGGTTCACTAATGTACTTTAGGAAAGGAAATCTGCCATCCTTATCTGGTCTAGCCGACATGTGACCACACAGTAATGTGGTCGGATCTCAACAAGGGCAGTTAGGGATGGGCAATAAATGCTCAGCTAGTCAGTGATGCCCACATTCCATTAACAAATTTAAAATAAAATTCCACATCAGTGGAGGCTGCCACTTAGTTAAATGGCCAGCTTCTACTGTAAAATGTGCATTCACGAAGATCAGAGTGCACCATCCCCGTTCCCGCACCTGCAAAAATCAGAAGTGACATGTTCACATTGGGACGTACAATTTTAAGCCACTTCCACCATTTGCCTCTCTGTCATGGGGAAAGTCTGTGTCTTCCTCTCACCTAATCCCTAATACCATTAAAAAATAATTTTTCAGAGTCTCTGGCATCTATTTTATCCATTGGTTTATCCTTGGACAGTATAATCTCTGGCCTAAATTGCATACCAGCAGGTGTGTAGTTACATATTTCCCCGGTATAAGCGCTGTTATATTTTTCTTGTTACTTGGTTGCAGTAGACTGTTAGACTATGTTGATGAATCTGGATTAATACAACGTCTGAGTTGCTGCCACTAAAATATTGCTATTCTTTACTGAGCTGCAAAATATTCTGTAAAGGAGTGGTTCACCTTGTTCCTTCCCTATTCTTCCAGACTCAGGAGGAAATGTCTCTTGTAATGCAACATGAGGCCATTTCTTCACCATAGCTTACTAAATGATTAGTACAAAAAGGTACCAAAAACATGCAAATTACTTTGTATATTCATTTGCTACCACTGTGGTTGACTTGTTTTTAATCAATGCTGTGCTTTCGTTTTTTCCTGATTCTTATAGATTTGACAGTGTGAGTTATCTACTGATTGGCAGAAAATGCTCTCAGTTTGAAAGATTGGAGGAGCCAATTAACTAATTAATGAAAATAATTAATTTTAACGGTGACACTGTTATTTAAACCTGCTGAACCTGCAAGCTTTACTTGTTCGTTTATAAATGGATTTTAATTTTTCTTTTGTTTCATAGTGAAAGAAGACAACAAATCACATGATTTAACTGAAGGAGTATGCAAGATGGGATCAGAAAGAGCTATGGTACTGGACAGACTTGCAAGCAATGTTGCAAAACGCAAAAGCTCAATGCCACAAAAGTTTGTTGGTAAGCATAAAATATTTGGTCCCAGTACTCATTAAGTAACTAGCTGTGTCACACAAATTACACAGCAATGAATACTGGTTTGAAACGGCTACTTTGATATTTGAATTTGAATTTAGTTTCTTCAATTTATTAGCTTCATTTTTGCAGTAGTGACATGAGTTTCAGCTATTTTGCTTTGGTTTATCCTTGGACAATATAATCTCTGGCCTAAATTGCATTTAATGTGTATTAGCATACCAGCAGATGTGTAGTTACATATTTCCCCAGTATAAGTGCCATTATATTTTGAGCTATTTTGAGCCCTTTATTTACTTGACGTTAAAAGTAAAATATGATCGTACGGCATTGATTGAATATTTTATGGATTGGAGGAAAGATGAGAAATAGCTTATCTGGTTAAATTGGTGGCATTAAAAGATTGAGAAGTAATTCATAATAATAAAAACAAAAACATCAATTTACAAACAATTTTAGAAACTGGAATACTTTGAACATGTGTTACTAGTCTGAAAAAGTATCTGGGATGTTACAATGAGCTGAAGCTGATTCTCCTTTCTTTTGATCCTTCAACGGATAATCAACAGTCTCATTCATTTCTCCCATGATGTACTGCTTGCAAAGGATTGGATTACAATTTTTCTGTACTAGTTTGAATGAAATGAGGTCCACAAGATGTTTTATAATTAGAATGGCATTATAGTTATGTAATATCATATTTCTTATGTCATTACTGTAGATTTACAGAAGTGAAGAAATAATTGCATGTATTTAGCAAGTTAGTATAAAGTCAGGTGGCTTATGTCATTTCATATTCGAATTAGTTACTTTTGTCCTGTACATTTTTTGATTTTGATAAACATAGAAGCTGGAATCTGGGTGGTGCAATAGGGGAAGAATAATGTCCTTTATCCCACATTGCTGAGGTGAAATCCCATGTCCTTATTACCTAGAAATGCTGTCTGAATTTGAGGTTAACATATATGCAAATTGAAATTATGCTGTCAGCAATTTCAACAAAGACATTGAACTATTTGAAATAAGTTGCCCCCTTTATTATAATGGACAAAATAATTTATACTGATACAAGAATATTTCTTACGAGGGCAACCTAAACACACTTAGAGTTTCAGCACCAAAGAAGCTCTAGCTTAAACTTTAACTTTGTGTAATCCTGTTCCAAAGCTGCAGGATGGAAGCACATACTTGGAATTTGAGTGTCAAAGTTTAAATGCCCAATTCACAACCACATAAATTTCTGTTCATTAACTACCTGGACCATAAATACTAAATTTTCAAGTTTTAATTTCTATTTTAGAAATGTATTGATAAGATTGCAATTTCACATTGAGAATCAGACACTGAATTTTGGATGAATATGTTGCCCAGTGTTATTCCCTCTGTGTTCAGCTAATACTATATGCCAGCCACTGAAAGCAGTCTTTCATTTTTTTATCCTCTTAACTATTTATAATTCGTAAGATTTCTCCCTTAGCTTTCTCTGTTGCAATGCTAAGAAGACCCACCTCTTCAATTTTTTCATAATAAATAAATTCTCTCTTTTTAGTAAATCTTGATTACTCCTTTCTATGCTACGCACCTCCACCCTATTACAGGCATAAAGCTGCTCACAACTCTCCAACTGTTTCCTAACCAATGAGTTGTAAAAGATCAAACTTACTTCCTGGCTTTATATTCTGTGCTTCAATCTGGAAGCCTCAGACACCTTTTTGTCTTCTTGTAGCCTCTTCTACCTATACTCACCCCTTCAAAGATTTAAGTAATTACTACCTAACTGTTTCACTGTATTATTAATCTTACCAATTAGGAAAAGCCTCCTATCAGTACCCTTTTTACAAATACTTAAATCATAATCCTTTGAATTGAAGTGCATCCAATACTTACTTGCTCACTTCACCAACATGTTCGGCAACAGTCTTCCTCAAAGTTTATCATGCCCCTTAATTTGGTATTGTCAGAATATCATTTATTTGCTGCCTGTATGTAAATCATTAGTATAAATGAAACAAAGAATAACTACCAAGACAGGTGCTACTAATACTAAAAAAAAATGCTGCTATACTTTGATTTCTAATCCTGAACATTCACATTGGTTTTCTTAGATATCATTTATGTTAAATTTGAAAACACTTTTTCTATGGTGTAGCTTATAAAATGTCTTCAGAAATATGATATACCACAGTTACTTTGTCCTCTTCATTTATAAGTTCCAGGATTTCCACAATGAATTGTTGAAATTCATCAAGCACACCTTTCCCTTTAAGAAGCCTTGCTGACATTTGCCAATTAGCTTCACTCTCACAAATTATTTTTAATACTTTCCACATTGGCAAAGAAATATAATTCTGGTTTATTCTGGTTTAATTCCTTTTCCCTTTTTTTATTATTCTATCTTTAATTTTAATTTTACGTAACCTCTGCTGCCTGCCTGAGGCATACCTCTCCTCATCTACCCATTAATACAGCATTTTAGATTACTTTGCCTCTTCACTGAATCGTTTCTTAACCACTCATCCATGCGCTGTAAGACCCATCTCTCCGCCTGCTATTTTTGTTTAAATCCCCCCCCCCATTACTGTACTTGCCTCTCTGTGAGGACATTGGTACTAATTTGCTTTATTTGAAAGTACATTTGCTAGTAAATAAATTAAACTAATAATAGGCATTATTATTGGTAAATACATCATGAGCTATTGTACTTTTGCTAACAATCTTAAAATGCAAATCAATTTTATTAATTGAAAGCACCCAGATCTCATTCTATCTCAATACCTCTTACCTAATATTAGTACCAATGAAACAGTTTAATCTTATTGTTGACTTTTTTCAGAAAAAGCAATTTTATGGTTTATGCAAGTGTTACAGCTGCAGGATCCGTTATTTTTATAACAGGAAGTCTGCTGTTTATCCAGTCTGTGTAAAGTAATACTGTATTGGTTGTTCATATGCTAATTACACAGGTGAAAAGAAGCTGCAGCTTGATATTTCAGAGCTTCAGTATGACGCTAATTCAAATTATGAAAAGGAGAGTGAGATGATGCAGACTCATGTTTTGGATCAAGCAATTAACAATGCTATCAATTATCTAGGGGCTGAGTCCTTGCGTCCTCTTGTCCAAACTCCTGCTGGAGGCTCTGAAGTGATACCAGTAATAAGCAACATGTACACCATCCATAAAACCCATTCAGATACACAGAGTCATACTAACAATGCCGCAAGCCAAGATGGTGCCGTAGAAAACGTAGTGCTTATTTCGAAAACAAAATCACAGTCATCAGAAAGAGAACCGTCTCCAAACAACAGCTGCCCAGATTCCACAGATACAGAGAGCAACAATGAAGAACGAAACAACCTGATTTACCTGACAAATCACGTAGCTCCACAGGCAAAAAATGGCTTGCCTTTAATAAAAGAAGATCCTAGATCTTATGACATTATGAGAGCAGGTATGGAACCTAATCAAGAAATCATCAAAGTGATTAGTAGTGATGGAGAACATGTGAAAGTTTATAAATGTGAACACTGCAGGGTACTTTTCCTGGATCATGTGATGTTTACAATACACATGGGGTGCCATGGATTCCGTGACCCCTTTGAATGCAACATGTGTGGGTACCGAAGCCAGGATAGATATGAATTCTCTTCACACATAACAAGAGGAGAACATCGTTTTCATATGAACTAATGAACTATTTCAATCTACATTTGGACATTCTTTTCCATTTTATGTGATTAACTACAATTTACTCAAAAAATAAAAGAAGAAAGAGAAAACCAAAATCATTAGCTTTTTTTTGTATATTTTTCATTTATCCTTCTTCTTAAAACTGTTATTTGCAAGATGTGGACAGAGTTTTATACGACAGATCATATCATCAGACCTCTCAGAATCAATACATCTGAAGGAGAGTTCTTTGAGATTGTATTTAATCATTTTTAGCACTTAAATTATTTGCTTATTGTCTATGATCTAACTGAAATGTATATGTGAACAGTTGATCACAAACCTCAAACTAGTGGGTAAGAGCTTGCGTTTTTATTACTGTAGTTTGCAACAAGCGGTACTAGAATTTTTAAACAGTTTAAAGCTTTTTAGTCTAGCAACTTTTATAAAAAGCATTGATAGCTGTGTGTGAATCAGTGTTGTAAATTGTAGAATTGGCACTCTATATATGGTCTTGTTTCTTTGGCTGTGCTCCTTTTTGTAATAAATACCAGCTAAAACTTGAGAGCTTCAATAAGATACTATTTGCATTTTGACCTGTTAAAACTGAGTCGTATCTACATAGTATCTTGAGGTTCATCGTTTACACAGAAATTGTGCCTAATATGTTGGTTACATTATTGGAAACAGTTTTCTGACAAAAAAATTGTTATTTTTCATTGATTCTATAAATATATACGTATTTTCTAATGTTTATCTTTTATTTCAAATCCAATAGGTTTGTTTTATTTATTACGTTAATTGTTAGATTTAAAATTGGATTTATCACCTTACATTTCTAAATGAAATATTGATGGGTAGTTGCTATTTCTTTGACACAGAAAACTTATATATATATGTTAATTTAAAAATGAAGTTAAAGTTTCTCAAACTTCAGACTTGTTTATTAGAATTGGCACAGTATGGTGAACATTCTCAAAACTTAAATTACCAAAATACTTCTATACTGTTGCTAATGTTAAATTATAATCTTAAAATGTGGCACCATATTTAGAGACATTTGACCTATTATGCATGTATCAACTGTCTGAAGAATTATTGGCATTGTCCTATTTCCATACCCTTTTTCTTCTCTTTTGAATATTTACTCACTTTTCTTTTAAAAGGCATCACAGATTTGAGTCCTACCAGTGTTGCTGGTATGAAATTATATGTCCTAATAACTGTGTGCCCATGAATAAGTTTCTCCTAACCTCATTGATGTTCTTTTGGTGATAGTGCGTTTATGTCCTCTCAATCCCAACTCACTTCTGCCAGAAATAGATGTTCTCTATTTATCTTCACAACAAGTTATATTTATATAGCACCTTCAACATCATAAACCTCCCAAGGTGCTTTACAGAAGCAGTCTAAAGCAAAACTTTCCCTAATTTAGAAGAACTTCAAGATATTCTCTTCATCTTCTTTGTTATATTGATAAGAACCTAATTATTCTAGTCTGTCTTCATTAATGCGTCTTGTGAGTGGTATCCTAACTAGTGAATCTCTTCCACACATTCAACATGGCCTTGACAGATTTCCTTAAAAACACCACAAACTGAATACAGTCTCCTAATTGCAGTGTAACCAATGATTTATCTCGATTTGGCTTTTCCATTTGCTTTCGTACCCTAAAACAAAAAATTCAACATCTGCTTTTTAGCAATTAAGTTTTATCAATTTACCCTCCCACTGTCACATTTTTGAGTCTTAACCCCAAAATCTCTCTACTTCCTGACTATTTTTGAAGTCTTATTGTCTGGTACAAAATGTTCTCTCCTCTTCTTCCTTCTAAAATGTATTGCCTCATATCTCTCCAAATTAACTTGTATCCAGCATCTTTGTGTCCAAACTCCTAACGTTACTGTATAATCTTAGAGTCACTTATAGTCTGTTTCCATTTTTATTTTCCTTCTTAATCCTGAAATTTTAGACCACAACATCATAAAGTTTAGCCTTCAAATGCATTAAGGGCTTTGCAGTTAACTTGCTGACAAGTATTGCAGTGTTATCCATCATTTGACATAATGGAAAGGTACAAAAAATTAATACAAATCCCTAACTTTTATGAATTTCCAAATTATATTCCACACCAATAGTTGAACAATACTGTGTATATATCTTGTACAAAAGCTTTGACCAGAAAACTGTTACAGTATGTAATTAGAATGTAAAGATCATTGCATTATATTCCTTTTAAACTATTACTGGAAATGTAATGTTCCATTCTTTTTTTAAATCAATCTTAAGGTAAAGAAAAAATATGGATCATCTGTGACCTAATTGAATGTTGGAACAGGCTCAAGGGGCTGAGTTACATTCTCCTGTTCCTATGTTTCTTTTTCCCAAATTGGTCTTTTAAATGTACTGCATCAACTTCTAACATCTGACATTTAAACTTTTGTTATCAGTATCTAAAAATTTGTAGAACTTCACAAAACTTTGTACTGCATTTAAAAATAAATATCAACCATAACATGAGACCATCCCCTGTTGCAGAGAGAGAAAGCACAGAAACATGTAATCTACATGTGTTTCTTAAGAGGAGACTCAACATTTCTAATGTGGAAAATGTCTTTGTAATTTTGTACAAAAAACATATCTAATATTAAATTCACATTTTAAAATGTTGTAACGTTTATTCAGTTTGTTACTCATTTATCAGATAACATTGACAAATTGATGCTATGTTGTTTTCAATCTTTTTCCATTCAAAGTTGTATTATGATGGCCTCCATTATCTCTGGAAAAAATTAGATTTTGCTTGACAAGAGGAAAATAATTAAAAAGTATTAACTCTTCAAAATGTCTCATGTCTATTGAAAGTACTAAGACGCCAAAACTGCAATTTACAATTTTATGTAAACAAGTAGGCTGGAATCTAACAGGAGTCCCAGCGATGTGACTATGGTGAAATTTGTAGCAGAATCAGATGAGAAGTCTGGCAAGGCCCATCTCGACATCGAGAGCAACTCACGCCGTCTTTTATGTTTTTCACAAGAGGCATGGCAGGATTCTCACTTGGTAGTGTCAAGTTTCCAATTTACAATGATTATTGCTTGTTAAACATCTTCTTAACAGCCCAGCTCATTTCAATAATATCCAGCATTCCATTGTACCAAACTCCCCACACAGGTTTGACGTCAGGAAAACTTGACAAGGAAACCAGCGGAAGCATCTGGGCAGATTCAATTTGCTGCTTGCTCCAAACAACCTTCACGTTGGTGTTTGTCTGACAACATCTCGCGGTACTTTCCATGGGCATTGGTCACAAGGACCTCACATTCACAGATATCGCCATGCAATATGTGCCAGTCGCTAAGAACCCCTATGACACATGGCACTTACAGAACACTTCTGCTCTTCAATGCTGCACCTCCAGCTGCGCTGGAAACTAGCATTGTAATGCTACCGCAAGGCGACGCGGAAACATGCAACCAGCTCTTTGAGTGGACCAGGCTGTATCTCAGGGCTCTTCGCTCACTCTCCAATTGTTCATTTCCTCTCAACCTGTCTGGATGCTTAAAGCTGCCCTGCTTTGCATTGCCTTGCCTTGCCATTTTAGCTTTGCCGCCTCAACCAGACTTACCAGGCTCATATTCCAGCTGCCCGGCCAGGCTATTTAGCACAGAGACAAAACGAGGAGGCTTGTCATAGTTGTCAGAAAACTTCAGTCAAACCAAGCCTTTGTTTGGAGTGGTGGGTGGAGGAGGGTTCCAGGCACAATAAGTCAACCGTTACCCTTTGATATAAGGTCAGGCTCTGCTGGGTGTGTTCAGAGTCAGGATCCTTTCCTCATGAGGGTAAATAGTAAATGACAACCAGCATACCAAATGATTTGACTCTGTCTGCCCTATTGAGGGTTGTTTTCTTTAGGGAATGAGGAAGAGGCAGATATTAAAGGAAGATGAAAGTGGCTGTCTCAGCTGTTACTGTTGGTGTGCATGGGGAGATGTCCCAAGCGAAAGAGTGGGCAGGAAAAGAGGGCATGCAGAGTCGGTGGTGTTGGGGCTGTGGTGGGTGACAGTGCATGAGGGAAGATGTTACCGGCAATAGTGAGAGTGGTAGACAAGATCCTTGGTGGGAGGTGGGTACAGTAGCAGAGACATACTGAGTGTGAGTTATCTGAAAGAAAATGATGGAGCATACCGAGACAGAGTGGAGAAGGTCGTTAGCCTTATTCCCACAGTGCTGAGCAATCTTTCAGACAACTGAGCGTGGTTTAACTTGGATGGCAACATTGAACTAGCCTGGCTTGGTCTGGTATCATGAACTCCATCATTGGCCATGAGAAGGAGGAGATCATATGTTGGCATCACTCTGTCCAGCTGGACCTCTAGGTCTGTGCCTGCAAAGCTGCAGGTCACCAAATTCCCTTTGTCTGCTGTGTCTCACGGAAATGTCAGGCACATTGCAGGGCAGCTTCAGATGGATGGGGCTTTTCCAGGTGCATATCAGCCTTTTAAAGATGGCTCGGACACCAGGGATGCTGGTAAATTCCAGTACATCAGTCGAATGGGGAATTGCTCCAAGACCGGCGGATTGTTAAGATGAGGGGGCAGTTGGACATCAGAGATGCCATATAGGTGTGGTGGATCATTAATGAGGTGAGTTTGGTAAAATACAGTGAAAGAACACCCTAGGCCTCGCAGTGACAAACCCTTCAAAAGGCTCAACAGAACTCTGGAACAAAAACATAGTTGCTGGAAAAGCCCAGCAGGTCCGGCAGCATCTGTGTAGGAAAAAACAGAGTTAACGTTTCGGGTCCGGTGACCCTTCCTCAGAATTGTTCTGAGAAGGGGTGACCGGACCTAAAACGTTAACTCTGTTTTTCCCTTCACAGATGCTGCCAGACCTGCTGAGATTTTCCAGCAAATTTGTCTTTGTTCCTGATTTACAGCATCCGCAGTTCTTTCAGTTTTTACTTCAACAGAACTTGGACTTAGCTAAAACAAAACACAAGATTCAGCCCATTTGTTTTGATTTGTACAACTTAGATGAGCGAATTTAGTAAATTTTGAAAAATACCTAATCCTCATCTTAAATAATATTTGACATACCAAATTTTAACCAGTTAAAATTGCCCAGGAGGCCTACCCACGGGTATTCCGCCCTTACGCACACTTCCAATTTATTCCACTTTTCTGAACAGGAAGAAAGCTCGCCTATCAGAAAGCAGCCTGTTCCTTCATTAAAGTTGGAGATTGGGCTGTGAAGGCATGATCAATGTTCAACAAATACTTTAACTAGTGGCTTCAGCAAGCAAGGCCTTGGTGCTGTCCTACAAGGTCAATGGAACAGGAAGGAGAGTCTTTTTTCCCTCTGTCTTGAGGTGTTTAAAGCAATGCCTGTCCTTTTCTGGATCCCACAAGGTAAGGCCTTCTCCATTTTCCTGCCCTGATTGTGAGGCTCTTCCTAAATCCTAAGTCGTCTGGGCCTCATTCTGCTGAGGTCACTGTAGTTTACTCTTTGCCTCAGCCACTTTTGATTAACAGCTCAATAAAAATTGAAGCCTAACTGTATTACATTGTGAACATTCTAGAAGCTTATTGCAAAATGTCGCTGTAATAAAAGTATGTTCCTACAATGCATCCATTTGCTAAACACATATGTTAATCAACCAACATAATTATTTTTAGAAACATACATGACCTTAACACCAATTCTTGTTTGTGTAAAATAAAGGTAGTATTTCAAACAAACTGCACTCGCCAAACTCATTGTTAACTCACTGAACTAATGCATGTCTGACAAAGAATTGCTTTAAGTCTGATCCTTGATTCATGCTGGGATAGCTAATCCCGGTTAGTTGTGGTGATAGCTTCGACTTCAATACATTGCAAATAGAGAAAAAAGTGTTTTATATGCTTTAATTGTTCTCCAGATGTAGGTGTCTCTGGCTGGGCCACATTTATAGCCATTCCTAATAAATTTCAGAAAAGAATTGGTGATCTTTCTCAAACAATGGCTGTCCTTGAGATGTAGGGACACCCATAGTGCTCTTTGGAAGGGACCTCCAGGATTTTGACACATCAACACTGGAGGAACATTGACATATTTTCAAGTCAGAAAGAGTGGCTTGGAGGAGAACTTGCAACTGGTGGGGTTTCCAAGCATCTGCTGCCCTTGTCCTTCTCAGTGAAAAGAGGTCATGGATTTGAAATCTGCTGTCAAAGGAGTGGTGAGTTACAACAGTACATTTTGTAGATGGTACACACTGCTGGCACTGGGCATCAATGGTAAAGGGAACGAATGTTGAAGGTGCTGGAAAGGCTGCAAGTCAAGCAGGATGCTTTGTACTGGATGGTGTTATTAGGTGTTGTTGGAGCTGCACCCGTCCAGGCAAATGGGAAGTATTCCATCACACTCCTAACGTGTGCTTTGTAGAAGGGAGACAGGGAAAGAGGAGATTAATTACTTGCTGCATACGTTCTGGCCTCTGACCTATGCTCATAGCGACAATATTTATATGCCTGGTCACTCTTTTTGATGTTGTAGTCAAAGTCCTTCAGGCATGGCCTCCCTTGGTGGTCAGGGAGGCTACCCTGCAAGATGGATGACACATCAGGGAAATAGATTGGAGGTGTAAAGGCACCACAACAACGAGTGGAGGACCCCTTTCCTGCTATTGTGACACTGTCAGAAATCACACAACACCAGGTTATAGTCCAACAGGTTTATTTGAAAAAAGAAGCTTTCAGAGCCTCAGAGATAGTAGGAACTGCAGATGCTGGAGAATCTGGGATAACAAGGTGTAGAGCTGGATGAACACAGCAGGCCAAGCAGCATCAGAGGAGCAGGAAGGCTGACGTTTCGGGCCTAGACCCTTCTTCAGAAAATGAAGAAGGGT